AGGGGCGTCCAGTACACCTGGAACTGACTGCCCAGGGGTGGAAACACAGCCCCACCATTTACCATGGACTGATCCAGACTGCACTGGAACAGAGTGAGGCTCCGGAACACCTGCAATACATTGATGACATTGTCGTATGGGGCAGCACAGCAGAAGTTTTTGAGAAAGGGAAGGAAATAGTCCAAACCCTGCTGAAGGCCGGTTTTGCCATAAAACAAAGTAAGGTCAAGGGATATCACCACCTACAGAGGTGATACGGTTGAAGGGGCTTCTGCAGTCTGTGGATACAGAAATAGGCAAATCGAAGTAACATAAGTACTCAGTGCTTTAGTGGAAGAAGGCAAAACGAGCGGTATCTAGAAGTTGAAGTCCAGCGAATCGAAACAGGAGATTAGATGTGTTAATTTGAAGGTAAATGTGATTAATTCCTGAAGCAAACTACCAGGATAAGCGGTAGGTTCTCTGTTAAGTGCTTTCAAATGAAGTCTTTCTACTAATTTGAGCAGCTGAGGATGGGAGTTACTAATTCTTATTCTGCCAAAGAACAATAAGTAATTTGGATGGAATTATTTGAACAATATTTTGCTTAAACTGAAAGTAAAAATTGGCATTAGGCATGGTGCTATCTCTTATTCTCTACTACCAGTTGGAACAAATTGAATTTAGAGAAGTTGTGGTTATTTGCTTTAAATGGCCCCCTGCTAAGAGATTTAGTGTTTCATGCAGCTTTGGCTTACCAGGGACCATGTATGATTGACACAATTAATCAAAGATCGTGCTACTAATCCACACCAAACATAACACAGTAGAGAGAACTCAATTAAAACTTTTGTTCCTCCAATTTAAAAGATCGGCCACGTGGGAACTAAGTATCTCAGCATTACTTGTTTTGCTTGAGACCAGTCTTAATAAATTGCTTTGTTTTGCTTCTGCAGTGCAATTTAGATGCTTATAAATCAGCAGTCATGCTTTTCCACAATTACATATGTGAACTCCTGCATCTTTGGTTAACAACTTTTGTCTAGAAAGTTTTAATGGATGTAGGTAAATGCTGAAGGAAAATGTAAAAATTTGAAATAATAAAAACAATTGGGTAGGGGAAATGCTGAAAGAAATGCTTTGCTATTTCTTTATAAATACAGAAATTTAGAACTAAACAAAATTAAATTTAGTAGTTCAGTTATAGGGTCTTCCTCTTATTATCATTCATTTTGACTCTTGTTTGTTTCCCTGACCATGTATCATGAGCTTTATCCCTCTCCCTGGGCACCTTTATATCAAGACTATAGTGAAGACATTATTCAAGCCTATAAATTTTTGGCAGCTTACACTTAGGGTACTGAAAGTGCTTAATAAAAGACAACGTTGAAAGGATTAAGAGGAAGAAGCTTATGATTGGAAAGGCTCTCTATTTTGTAGAAAGTGGCTGTTTAAAGAAGAAAAAAAAAACCCTGACGCTTTAATTACCGCATTTCAACTGCCTGAAAAGATGTTTCATTTCTGACTTGCCTCAGAATTTGGGTGGTGTGAAGTAGTGATGTAGGAAGCTGCTGGGCAGTGTGACAGCTCACAGCAATGTTAAAGGTAGCCTTAAATTCACTATATTCATGCACAGATAAGGCATATAGGAACAGGAGTTGGTGCCTTTGTTTTCCGGGAGGACTTCTTGTCTCATTAAACTGCTGACTGAGAACCAATCCAGCACGTAACACTGAGGTAGTATTTAGCATCACTTATATGACTAAATGTTTTTCCTTAGGTCTTATGGCAATAAAATACCTGCAGTAGTTAACTCCTTGATCCTGTCAAGTGTTGAGGATGTGTACTGTTCTCTTCAAAAGGTGTTAATACTCTGTTGTTCCTTTTCAGGGACTAATCAGCTGTGCAGGTTTTAATGCTGTTGTATTATGAAGGCCTAAAAGGATTTTTCTGTAGGATATGTATCTTGTGGAGACTAAAATAGGGAGTTTAACAATATGGTGTGATACCTTCTGTTGAAAAAAAAAAAAAAATTTTTTTTTTTGAAGTATAAAGCAAAAATAACTGCTTTTTTTTCAAGTATTCCTGATGGGCATTTATTGTGCTCTCAACACTTCTGAACTTGTGTTGCTGTTGGCAGAGGTTTGCTACTAATCTTTTTGTGTGATCGCAAACAACTTGTCTTCTGGACCCAGGCTGCAGGACTGGGTGTATGTCAAGCACAAGATTCAGCTCTCTAGTATACCTTTATCATCTCTATTAGTGCTTTAAACCTGTGGTTTGCTAATGGCAGCATTTCTGATCCCACTGCATCCCTTTGCCCATCCCTTAAGAACTTTTGTCCTTTTACAATAGTGGAAATGTTTTGTGTTTCAGATAGATAAAGTATTATGGTTCACAACATATACTTTGTCATTATACCCTCTGTGGTTTTGTCCTTTGCCATTTGTTGCATGGGGTTATGTTGTTTTTTGAAGTGATGTTATCTTCTGTTTTGCTGTTGACTAATTTCTTCACTGTATTACGCTTGTTTCTGTTGGTACATGTTTTGCTCTGATGTACTTATCTCATAAACTTCGGTAGTTGTCACTTAAAATGTGTTGCTTCTTGGTAATTTCTATGCTTTTGCTATTTTTTTTAGTTTATAAAAGCCACATTTTCTTTTTACCCAACAGTTTTTACCTGGAAGTTCTTCCCTATGTTGTTTTTCTTTCCAGTGCTTGCGTCTCTGAACTACTTCCATGCAACTTGGTCTTTATTTTACTGGTTTCTATATGTAACCTGGTCCTTCTGAAAGTGTTTTTGCATTGTTTCATTCTTCAGTGCATTAAGAATCAATTTAAGATATTTTGTAGCTATTTGTTTTCTGTAGCATCAGGTGTTTTTTCTTTCATCTAGTGACAACTAATTCTAATTCCCAGTCTACAGTTAGTATAGTCTTAATGTTTCTTAAACTGTGATTAAAAACAACTGTTTTCTTTTTATACACATCTCCTGCAAGTCTTGTGTATGTTTTACTGACTACTTATTTAGAATAATGAGCTTGTGCTTATCTGAGCGTATGAATCTTTCACCAAGTTGCTGGCATCTACAAAAAGCTACTCCCTCCCTCCTCCCACTTGTATCTCCACTCTCTTTTAAACAGTCAAAATTCTTACCTCCTCCCTCCACACACACTGATATGTTATTTTTCCACTATTTTGATGAAAGCTTTCATAGGGATCAGATTCCAGTTGTTAATATAAAAAAAAAAAAAATCCCTTTTATGGGGTAAACTTTTATTATTAATATTTCTCAATATTTTTTTAATGATGCATTCCTTTAGTTGTCTTTCTACTATAACTGCTGTTTTGTTTTAATGTGGCCAAAAATCCATTGTGATAATTCCGTTCTTTGCCACTTGGAAGACTTCTGGCATAGTTTTCTCTCTGTAATGCCTTGTTTAGTCATATTATTTGCTTTGTGAAGTCTTTAAATCTATTTGGCCCTGGTAATGTATCTAGTACATTCAGTACCTTTCCCTTCTGTGACTTGATTCTTCTGATCCTCAAAGTGAGGGTTTTGACCAGAAAACACTGCGTCATGTTGCAGGGGTTACCACACTGCTTGATAGATTATCACATTGCTTGATAGATTTTTGGGGGTTTGTTTGTTCGTTTTAACTTGGAAAGCACCTTTGTCTTGTTTTGCCTAGAACTGAAGCATACTTTTAATAAACAAAACTTGTGATTCTGTTGGTTGCTCCACCAGATAATTATGCCACAAGTAGTGAGAACGCCGGGACGGTTTTGGAGATAATGATAGCTGAGTAATGCCCCAAGTTGCTTTGTGAGAGATTTTTTTTTTTTCTTCAAGGTAGAAAAAATTTGTGAGCGTGCGTAAATGTCTCAAGATCATTCTTTTCAGTGCTGCCACACTACTTATCTGGCTTAAATGTAAAAAAGAATCGCAATAAACGTAATCAGCTGAAGTGGGTTTTTATTTGCAAAAATAATGTAATATTGTATATGTCTCTGTCTTCAATGCAGAGAACAGACCCACAGCTCCTTGCTCAGTTCTACTATGCTGATGAGGAACTAAATCAAGTAGCAGCTGAACTGGACAGTTTGGATGGAAGAAAAGACCCACAGAGATGTACGCTGCTAGTCAACCAGTTTCGCTCTTGTCAGGTAATCAAAATGGCACCTTCCTGATTTCATTGACATTTTTCTGTACATTAAATGTATTACATTATTATTTATTGTATTAATTAGTTTTTATTGTCAAATCCCTTTAAAATGAACCTTTGATAGATAAGTGCCTTTCCTTAGTTTAAACGGTATATTTTTGAAAAAACTATTCATAAATCAAATCAACTACATCTCCTTTAAGAGTGTGTTTATGCTTTCCCTTACATAAGAGCATACATTAAAGAGTGTTTCCTTTATATAATATAAGCATACAGAGCTTACTAGCACATGAGAAATATTTCAAAATTTCAGGCGGTATAAGGTAGCCATGTCTTTTGTAGATGCTCAGCTTTCACACCTCATGAATCTGATAGATTTTCATTAGTAAATGAACTACGTGAAGACAGCTCATAGCTCTGCTGATTTTTGGATTAATATTATCTGCTTCATGTAAAAAGTCTTGAAGATGAGAGGAACTACTGAGGAACCAAGCAAAAGAGGGGTTTTATCTGTAAATTATTTCAAAAATATGAATCTGTCTCTAAGTTGCTGTTGTATAATATAGTTCACCTAAAAAGAGATTCCTGGTAGTAATTTGCTGAAAGTATGGCTATGCTTTGAGGAAGACTTGAAGGGAGAAGAACTAGAGACTGCCAAGACCAATTCAGTTAAGTCTAACTCTCTTAACTTGGATAGTTTAGTAATTTATTTTATTAAGAAAAACAATTCAGAAATTGAAAAGCAATTGAGAAAATATAACTTTCCCTGTCATGCTGTATGCCATTCTACACCAAGTTTTTCAGTAATTTTTAGAGGTAGAAACTACTTTTGTGGTACACTTCGTACTTACACGAATGCTTTGGTACTTCTTCTCCCAGTCACACCCAAGAAAAACACTTCAAACTGAAGTAGGCTCAAGTCCAGAATAAACCATGCTCAGGTGGTAGGAGCATTTCTGTATGAAAGGTAAACACTTGCTGTCAACTCAGGAGAATTGTAAGTGGAAAGACCATAGGAATAAAGATTTCATTTACATCTCCATGAAGTAAAAATGGCAGTTGAGTGTAAAGTATGTATTTTGATTCACCCCTTGCTACAATTTCTTACCATTACTACTAGTAAAATGTACCAAACTTTGTTATATGGAAAAATTTCATCACTAAACAAGTTAAGATGAGTTTGAAGAACAGTGCCCTGATCATCATAAACAAATGTTCACATAAAGTTAGCTGAGTCTGTTGAAAAGAAAAGTCAGGTATTATGTGTGTACTTGCAAGAAAACTAAATTTTAAAAGTGCAGTGTTTTGAAGAGCGCTTGCAGAGAAAGAGTTGACAGTCAATGTACTGTATGTCAAACAATTTTAATACTTCTGTCTACTTTGAATATCTTCACAGTTTCCTACTGTACTGTCACTAGAGAAAAATGTGGAGTTTAAGGATTTACCAAACTAGAAACTGTGAGTTTATTAACAGTCAAAATTCAGTGACTTGGAGGGAAAAGAATAAGGGTGAGAGTTATCTTGAAAGGTCATTGACTTCAGTCTTCTGTGTGATGGATCAGCTGTACCTAAATCCCCTTTCACAAATATTTATCTGACTTGTTCTTATAAACCTCCAGTAATGGACATTCCACAAACTTTCTAGGTAAATTCTTTCCAGACTGTTTTATTAGGAAAGGTTTTCTGATAATAAGGCTGGATGAACAATATCATGGTGCAAGATTATGTCCTTGTTTGTTGTTTTATCCCTGGAGATGACAATTTATTGTCATTCCCTGTTTCTCTGCAGGTGCATGGGCTTTCTGATTTGTTTCTTGTAGTATAGGCAGACCTTTGGAGCTGTTCTGTTAAAAAAGTAGCTTCTCTGAATGTTTCACCTGTAGGAATGCAAGAAATGCAGACTCCGATAGTTCCTTGGTCAGTTTGCTTGGCTTGTTATACAGTGACTCACCACCTTGTGACTCTTAATACCATCTGATGCCTGGTAATTTCTTCTTTTCATTTGTCAAACAGATTGCTGTTACTAAAACAATCTGTTGCTAGAGCTGAAAGAAAAGATGGAGATGGTTTTATTTTTTCATGTAGCTATTTTTGTAACTTCTAATTTTCAAAGTTCTGCAGAATAGGTCAGATCATCGTCAAATATCATGTCAAAAATGGCTTTGCTAATTAGGACTTAAATTATTTTGTAGTATGTTGTGTAAAAGCAATGTTTTTTGGGTTTTCCTTTTAAGAATTTGTCATGTAAATGCCAAACAAGAGAAGGAGCAGTGTTTTAGTAAGGATTCAGAATGTTGGTATTTGCTAATCAAATATTACACGGTAAGAGGAAAAATCGGTTTTAGCCTAAGGTATGGTGGAGTTTGAGGAAGATGGAGAACCAACAGCCAGCCCTGGGGTCAAAACGGTTGTAATGGAAGGTTGTGCATGTGAAAGTAGGATAGCAGCTACGTTGTGCAATACCTCTGTGATATCTGCAACAACAATCACACAATTCTGAGACTTTTTTTTAGAAACGTGCTCTTTCTGACTCTTTAAGCAATGCTTTTGAAAAGGAACTTGTGATCACAGAACGTAGTTAACCAGACTCCCAGTCTTTGCATGATCTCTTTTTTCCTAGTTTGTCCTTGTTTTTCCATGTATTATTAAGGTTTCCAGATTATTCCCAATTTTTATGTCCGTAAAGTTTACAGAAACATAGTCTTCCTATCAGATTTTAGTGTTTTCTAGGGACAAAGATTTCTAAAATCCCTTGACCTTCTTTTCATCTGGTTTCAAAATTAATTCATTGTTTCTGGGCTGCTTATTTTCAGATGATTTACTGATAGTGTCTGCTTGATTAACAGGTGATGTTTTGAAGTCTTATTTTGTTTTATTAACTAGAGGAGGGAAATGTCTCTAAATTAGTGTGATTTTCCTGAAAGACCAAAAAAATCTTACAAACTCTGTGATTCTTTTTAGAGAGAGGTTATATTCTGTTGGATCTTAACTGTATCCAAAGAGCTAAGTTTTATCTCTCGGTCTATATTTTCAACTTTTGGTACTATTGTTAAAGAGCTCCAAGTTTATCATAGTATGTGAACAGATTCAGACAAAACAAAAGGACTCTGCCTAACAGATGTAATGCTTTATAGTGGACACAGTTCATGTCTTCTATCTTAACAAAACGGGCAGCGTTAGTCAAGGCAAGTTGAAGGTATGGTGCATTGTGGTGTTCCCATGGATATGCAGAGTACTTCAGTCTTCAGGACTGTTGATGCTTCCTCAGTAAAGACCTGCAGCACTGAATGTTGTCTTATACTGTTTCACCTTAGTACTATTTGATGATAAAAATCATACTTTTTATAGTAAATTAACTTTTCAAAACTTGAAACTTGGATTTCAAATGCTGAGTTGACTGTAGAGCGTGATGCTGAGTAGCATATATGAGTAAGAATCAAGGTAATGGTTTTCAAAGCTTCACTTTTCATTTTCACATTAATGCGATATAACACTTTTTTCCAGTTATAGTAGCCTATTATAAAAATGACATCCCTCGTTTTTCTTTGGTGTTTGCATGTCAGTGGTAGAATATTAAAGAACATATCTGTTAATACAGTATCTTGCATTTATTGTGTGGTTAATACCTGTCCAACAGAATAAACCACTTCTTCCTCTAGTGGTTTCTGTTAAAATTAACAATAACTTCAGTGTGCAGAGATGCATGACGAAAAGCTATGTAAGTTTTTCTCAAATGAAAAAAAGGGGCGGTAGGATGTCATACTTTGGTTTGCTGAACTTGATTGATGGTAATAGAGGGAAAGTACTTTTTTTTTTCCTTAAACATGTTTGCATCTGTGCATGTTGAGTAATATGCAGTGCTGGTTCATCTGAGGTTTTTTCCCTGCAACACAAATAATTCACTGACGTAGTTCAATATTAGGGTTATAATAAGGTGTCCTTTTCTGTGCTGCTCCCAACATCTCACGGTATTGAATTTCGTAAGAAGTAATGGTACTTTGTGTACATCTTTTAATTAATCACTCATGCATTTACAATCATTGTCTAAATCAATTTGCCTTGATCATTGCTATTTTCACATTGATTAATATCTTGTTACTTGAGTTGAGAAACTGGTTTAAAACAATTTCTCAGCCATTTAAGTGGAATTAGGTTGAATGTTACATATTATAGAACTTCATTGGTTTTGTTTAAGAGTAAAGAGTAAAAAAAACTCCGTTGTTTCTAACCCATAGGCTTTGTGAGGACTCGATAGGTAAACGTTGAACTTGTGTTTAAGTACTTTACATTGTGAAAGTGTTTTCAGGATCATAGTACTTGCCTGCTGTTTCAGTATGCTGAGAATTATTTCTCTGCATAGAGCAGTGAGGTCTCAGAATAGCATGAGTCAGTTCCCAGCATGGTTTTATTAAAATTATTTCTTGAACTGCAGATTGTGTCTTAGCAATGTGTAATTTGATCTGCTAAGGTACACTGGGAAGGAATTTACCCCTGTCAGGGCACTGACCCGAAGCAAACCATAGACTTGCCTGGCTGTGTTACCCCTTGCACTGTACCACAGAAGAGCAAAATGGGAAATTTATAATATTTGTGAAACGTGACAGTTTCTGGCTCAGTGGTAGGAGTGACACTGCTTTGACTGGTAGCACATTATACTGGCTTTTCACTCTTTTCCTGCTATTTGCGTGCCTGGGAAGCACCTCTTGAATTACTGCAGTTGGCAGTCCAGCATTTTCAAGTTGTCTATCAGTGGTTTCAGTTTGCTGTAACATTAGGCTTTAAAACATAGCCTTTAGCGGGCTGCTTCCTGCACAGGTCGCTCCTCTGTATAGTGGGTGAGAAGACACCTGTGAATCTGAACTTCATTATCTATCACAGTATAAGTTAATGTTGCTGAGGAATTGGAGCCCTTAGAGAAAGCTGAAGCGTATTTCAGTGTTGTGTTATCACTTGTCTGTCTCAATTTCTGTAACAACATAAAATACGTGGTGAGTGTTATCA